TGGTTGAGGCAGCTATTGAGGCAGTGGGTGAGGCAGCTGTTGAGGCAGCGATTGAGGCAGTGGGTGAGGCAGCTGTTGAGGCAGCTGTTGAGGCAGCTGTTGAGGCAGCTGTTGAGACAGTGCATGAGGCAGTGCATGAGGCAGCTGTTGAGGCAGTGATTGAGGCAGCTGTTGAGGCAGCGACTGAGGCAGCGATTGAGGCAGCTGTTGAGGCAGCGATTGAGGCAGCTGTTGAGGCAGCGATTAAGGCAGCTGTTGAGGCAGCAATTGAGGCAGCTGTTGAGGCAGCGATTGAGGCAGTGGTCACTGAGGCAGCTGTTGAGGCAGCGGGTGAGGCAGCTGTTGAGGAAGCGATTGAGGCAGCTGTTGAGGCAGCAATTGAGGCAGCTGTTGAGGCAGCGATTGAGGCAGTGGTCACTGAGGCAGCTGTTGAGGCAGCGATTGAGGCAGCGGGTGAGGCAGCTGTTGAGGAAGTGATTGAGGCAGCTGTTGAGGCAGCTGTTGAGGCAGCTGTTGAGGCAACTGTTGAAGCAGCGACTGAGGCAGTGGGTGAGGCAGCTGGTGAGGAAGCGATTGAGGCAGTGGTATTTAATAACATACATGTTATTAATAATAATAATACATGTATTATAATATGTACTATTATTATTTATAACATATATGTTATTAAATACCACTGCCTCAACCGCTGAATTATTGTGAAATGTTTGGAAGAGCAGGGAGACTAATGTTCACTCCAGCATAAACAAAGCCACACTGACGATGTGTCAACCACTCCCTCGTATTTTTGTACAATTTCCTTCTTCAATTATATCGTAATTATTATTATTATTATTATTATTATTATTATTATTATTATATTATTATTAAATTTTTATTATTATTATTATTATTATTATTATTATTACTATTGTTATTATTAGCAGAAGCAGAAATGTTTGATTCTTTGCTGTGTTCAAGACTAAACACATGATGTCACCGTCCAATACCTGTCCGAATAGCCATTCCAATATGCAGTCATGAATGGGTTTACATTATTTATACTGTAGTTTAATAGCAAATAATGAACAAACAAAACACACACCACACTGAGTGGTGGGAGGGCTGGCTGCCAGTTGCGGGGGTCGGTGGGAGGGTAGTAGGGACTCGCAGTGGTTGGGGAAGTGGTGGAGGCATTGGTGGAGTCTGTGGTATTTAATAACATACATGTTATTAAAGCATAACATGCATATATTTAGTACAATTTACGACGTTTTCATGTATTTTATGATAGTTCATGGTTCAACAAGTTAAGGAAGCAGTATTGTATTATATTTCCCTACAATATATTGGGGCACCAAACATTCACGGTTTTTCAACATTCGCGAGGCTCTTGATCCCCTAACCCTCGCGAATGTTGAGGGAGACCTGTATTTGAAAATATGTAAAAAAATGTAGATCTACTTTTGTAGAACTACACATGTGAACATAGATCTGCTTGGGCCGTTTACGGGTTAATTGTTCATCATATAATGAACACGAAAGATCAATTGCTTAAGTTCTTTGTTGACAATGTTTATATCAGAGAAACCTGTAATGTACAGAAAAAACTTTAAACCCAAAATTTGTAGTACTGTTATATGTACATAATTTTTTTTTTTACCCACATCAACCATTTCCCATTAAAGCATGGCTCACAAAAGGAAACACAATCACCATTATTCATTCAATAGCTGTCTTGCCAGAAGTCTGCAGACATCATAATTCAAATGACCATCTGAGCTGCAACATCCTCACCCCTCCTTCAGAGTTGGCTTAACAAATACAGAATGAATATCTAAGTAAACATGTTCACAATTATGTACTTTCCTTCCCAAGCAACTTGGTTTTGTTACAAAAGTACTACATATCTTTTAACCCTTTGACGGTTTCGGTCGTATATATACATCTTATGAGCCACCGTATTAATACGCATAAATTCTAGCGGCTTCAAATCAAACAGGAGAAAGCTGGTAGGCCCACATGTGAGAGAATGGGTCTCCACAGTCAGTGTGCACCATATAAAAAAAATCGGGGAGCCAGTGGTGCATTGTGGGAATGTCATTTCAGTAGTCCTTGTTCAGCATGCCTAGCGGTAAGAAATATGACACTCCCCAGCAAATCTGGGATTCTACTCTTCCAAGTGATGCTCTAACACAGATTGAAGTGTCAGTGAAGATCAATTTCATGGTTTTTGAGGAGTTTGTGAAAAAAAAGCAATGCCCAGGATACCAGAAGAATGAAGGAGAAAGAGAGAGAATGAGGGAGAAAGATAATTAGATAGGATGGAGGGGACGCGAGCATCTGACCCCATTGTTTTGACAGGCAGTAGGGGGAGTGAGTAATGAGACAATATATCATTTTGACAGCTGCTACCCTGACTAAGAACAATTAGAAGCCACACATTCACACACAAGACAAGCTTGCTGAATGAAGCTAACAGCAGTTATATGAAAGTATCCAGTGACTATATATGTGTATATATATTATAGAAACCAGAAGGAAGGAAGAAGGGAAGGCAGGAAGGAAGGAAGGAAGGAAGAAGGGAAGGCAGGAAGGAAGGAAGGACAAGATGAAAGGAAGGAAGGAAAAAGTAAGGAAGGAAGGGAAGATGAAGGAAGGAAGGAAGGTAGAAAAGGAATGCAGGAAGGTAGGAAGGCAGGAATGATGACACATGACCATTTACCTAGGATAACTAAGTAACACATCTGCCTGCTAATACTTTGAAGAAAACTGCTCAGACGAGGTGTTTGGTCTTTGCACATAAAAAAAATGCCCACAAAAATGCAGACACACTTGTTTTATGTGTGAGGAGTGTAAAACACCATTGTGTATGAAACCATGATTCAAAGAGTTCCACAATCTGCAGAACTTCTAGGAACATGTCCAGTGACTGTATATTTATATATTCTTTCTTTCTTTCAACACACCGGCTGTATCCCACCAAGGCGGGGTGGCCCAAAAGGAAAAACGAAAGCTTCTCCTTTTACATTTAGTAATATATACAGGAGAAGGGGTTACATAGCCCCTTGCTCCTGGCATTTTAGTCACCTCTTACAACACCCATGGCTTACGCAGGAAGAATTCTGTTCCACTTCCCCATGGAGATAAGAGGAAATAAATAAGAACAAGAACTAGAAAGAAAATAGAAGAAAAGCCAGAGGGGTGTGTATATATATGCTTGTACATGTATGTGTATTGTAAGTGGAAGTAGCAAGTCGTACCTGAAATCTTGCATGTTTATAAGACAGAAAAAAGACACCAGCAATCCTACCATCATGTAAAACAATTACAGGTTTCCGTTTTACACTCACTTGGCAGGACAGTAGTACCTCCCTGGGCGGCTGCTGTCTACCAACCTACTACCTATAACATTTATATATATATATTATAAAACAATTTTTTGTATTGTTTGTTTGTATAAACAAGTTTTGTAAACAATATATTGATAATTATGTTTGTGCGCTTATTGTGTTGTATACAACGAGTGTATATATGTACATTGCACCTTACTTTGGACTCACAGGCCACATAAGTTATGTGAAAAAATAAAATAGTGAAAAAAACAAGAAACCTTCGAATACAAGTAAACCAAAGTTTACCGGGTGAGTGGCAGTCGCCGCTGTTGCCATAAGCGGCTCATTTTCTGTCAATTTCATGCCTCTATATCTCGGTAGGTACTGATGGCAAAAAAATTTTTTTTGGACTAAAGCAATCAGAAAAATAATCTTAACATTTTCATAAGAAAAAATAATTTTTTTTTTAATATTTTTCGACACCAGGATTAGATTAGGTTTTGCCACCGAAGTGGCTAGTTTATTGTGCACCCCATATCCATCCTGTGGACAGTAGTGCAAGAGCATATGGATACACAAAAGGCCTAGGAACTAGGCCCCAAAGGGTTAACAGGAATACATATGGATTTATATCTACATATCTATAGTTCACTTATCTGTTACAAGCAAATTTAGGAAATTTGCTTAGTATATCTGGTATCTTATTTTCATTAATAAGATATCTTGACATATCACATAGGTTATTATACTGTCTGTCTCTGTATTCCTCAATAAGTGGACAATTAAGCACATAGTGTTCACCAGGAGACACTTCAGGATTTGGGGTTTTGACAGCCAAGGAGTTAAAGGCTGCCCCATAACATTATGATTGTTTGGTCTCATGTAAATTTGCAAAACCATCACAGTGATATGGCCCATAATGCCTAAGCATAATAGAGGCTCTCTTTGCATTGCAACCCACTATTGTAAATACAAAATCTCAATGTACTGTTTGCAAAGACATAAAATAAATAAATAAATAAATATACAGAAACTTAAGACGATGTTAAGCTATTTTTTTGTAAATGGCTCCAGCTATGTTTTCATCACTTATAGTCTTCTTGAAGTGTGGTATCTGCACACTTCAAGCACGACAGTTATTGAATGAATAATGGTGAATGTGTTTCCTCTTTCTTGGTCACCTTACCCTGGTGGGAGATGGGCTGTGTTTAAAAAGGTGAATAAATAAATAAAGAGATGAACAAACTGAAAATGTGTATGCCCAATTATATGTGGTGACCTTCCCGCCAGATGTTGGAGAAGTGCCACATGTAATACCTTAAGGGAATCAAAATAAAAGATGTATCCACTGGGAGTACACACCTGTGGCACACCCATGACACCTGTGACACTCATGACACCTGTGACACCCATGACACACCTGTGACACCAGGAAGTAACTTAAATTTACCATCAGCACACAGTCTACTCTTTCACTGTAATCATTATGTACCATAATTTTATGGCATTTATTTCCTTTAAACATAATGATTTTGTTAAGTCCTTCTCTACATTTTACATACTACTTTGTTTTAGCTCTGAGTATAATATGAAAAACGTTAACTTCGAAAGTGGGTCAAATCCCACCTGTTTTTAATTTTGAATAGCTGAGGTTCTACTGTATGATAATAAATAATAATTATTTACCTCACTGTTTTCCGAATTTTCTGATATATTTTGCATACTTTCATCGGTGGATTTGTATTCTCTGAGAGAGGATAAGGAACTGGTAGCAGACGACACCTTGTCACTGAAATAAACAAGAAGATGTAACCAAATGCAGTAACATCATGCTATTTATAATTCAAGTCACATACATACAAGCAAACATTCATACGGTTGTGAAGATCAGTTTTGTTAATGCACGGGCCGTCTTCCACCAAGACAGGGTGACCCAAAAAAAGACTTTCATCATCATCATTCACACTATCACTGTCCTGCCAGAGGTGTGACAGTGATGGTGTGTACCATACATCTGATGATATATGCTCTAAACACATGCACATGCCACATCACTAGTTTTGTTTCTCATTTTCCTTGATGTATATGTGGTTTCATTGTATATTTATATGTGTGAATGATAATGAAAGTTTCTTTTTTGGGTCACCCTGCCTTGGTGGGAGACAGCCAGTGTGTTTAAAAAATAAACAGGTATCATAAGCAAGATTGATACCACAGACACTGGGAGAATATGTTAATATACTATATACCTTAAGATTAACCCGTAAACGGTCCAAACGTATATGTATATACGTTTTTACTGCTAGTGCCCTAAACGTATATGTATGTTTTATGTGTCTTACATTTAACATTGCCACGATAAGCCTGAGTCGCCTTGACATGTGAGAATGGGTGTGAGCACTCACTGTGCACCATATTAAAATAATTGGGGATGCTCTTTTTTCCTATTAAAAAACAACAATGTTTTTTTTCTCAAAAAAGTTGGGGCAGTACGGTAGTGAACGTATATATATGTTTGGACCGTTTACAGGTTAAATATATTACAAAACTGCAAAAATTATTTCACTTGGACAATGAAATTTCTTTATAAACTGCCATATTCTTCAAAAAATTTTAAATTTTATAAATGTATGTGTAAAACTCTACATTTCTGTTGAACATCACATGATACAAGTACAGTGGACCCTCAGTTAATGACATCATCAGATAATGACACATTTTTGCATCAAAATATTGGCTCAGTTAACAACAAAGAACTCGGTTAAAGTCATTCGTCCCAAACATGTCCACGGGCGTGAGCCCTGTCACTCCTGGTACAGCCAGTGTGCCATTGTTTACAAGCCAGTGAGGATGATTTCATGCATACATATGGTACATTTTGTATTATTCCATTGTTTTTAGTGCTTGTAACTGCTAAATAAGCCACCATGGACCCAAAGAAAGTTTCTAGTGCCAACCCTGTGGTAAAGAGGGTGAGAAATACTATTAAATTCAAGAAAGAGATCATCATAAAATATGAAAGTGGAGTGCGTGTCTCCGAGCTGGCCAGGTTGTATAACAAGCCCCATACAACCATTGCTACCATCTTGGACAACAAAAAGGCAATCAAAGAAGCTGTTGTTGCAAAAGGTGCAAATGTGCTAACGAAACAGAGATTTCAAATACTTGAAGATGTGGAGAGACTGTTGTTGGTGTGAATCAACAAGAAACAATTATCAGGAGATAGTGTTTCACAATCAATTATATGTGAAAAGGCAAGGCAGTTGCATGATGATCCAGTTAAGAAAATGCCTGGAACAAGTGCTCATATTGGTGAATTTAAGGCCAGCAAAGGTTGGTTTGAGAGAGTTAAGAATCATAGTGGCATACACAGTGTGAAAAGGCATGGTAAGGCTGCCAGTTCTGACAAAAAAGCAGCTGAAAAATATGTGCAGGACTTTAAGGGGTACATAGAGGCTGAACAATTAAAACCCCAACAAGTGTTCAATTGTGACAAACAGGCCTGTTTTGGAAGAAAATGCCAAACAGGACCTACATTACTCTAATGTTTTGTAGTAATGCTAGTGGGGATTGCAAAGTGAAGCCTTTACTCATGTATCACTCTGAAACTCCCAGAGTGTTCAAGAAAAACAATGTTGTCAAGCCTAAATTGTGTATGGTGTGGAGGGCAAACAGTAAGGCATGGGTAACTAGGGACATTTTCCTCAATTGGTTCTATGACATGTTTGGCCCCAGTGTGAAAAAAATACCTCCTGGAAAATAAATTGCCACTTCAGTGCTTCCTGTCAGTGGACAATGCTCCTGCTCATCCTCCAGACTTGGAAGAGCAAATTGTGGGGGAGTTTTGTTTCACAAAAGTAAGTTTTTGCCTCCTAACACCACCCCTGGAAAACTCTATCTGAAATTCTTGGAACTAAAAAGTTATCTAAAATCTAAAAACAAAGCAATCAAACTAACAAAATCAGATAAACCCCTACTCACTCCATCCAAACAGCAAACAGACTTAATGTTTTCTTCTCCACCATAGGAAAAAATCTAGCAAACAAAATACCAAGCAAAAACGCCCGTCCATCAGACTACCTCATAGGAACCTACCCAAATACGCTATTCCTAGCTCCAACCAACCCCACTGAAGTTATGCTCATCATAAACACCCTTAAAAACAAGACAGGAGACATAAACAACTTGCCTGCTTTTATGTACAAAAAAGCTTCTCAAGTATTGTCACCAGTTATTGCAATCGCTCTTTAACAAATCCATTGAATCGTCTACCTTCCCAACAATCCTCAAAATAGCGAGGGTCACTCCGATCCATAAAGGAGGTGACCAAGCTGACTTGAATAACTATAGACCAATATCTAACTTACCACTGCTCTCTAAAATCTTTGAAAAATTAATTCATAGACGGATCTATTCCTACCTCGCTTCACACAACATATTAAACCCTTTATCCATTGTTGACAGGAATATAACTGAATCATTGTTTTTCACAAAAGCATTTTAGAATATAAATACGTACATCTTTGTATTATACAAATTTTGATTCATTTATAATTAATATTCTACTGTACAACTATGAAATAATGACTTTCCTACTGTACAACTATGATATACTACTCCTTAGTATTAAGTAGAATGTAAGACAATAATGTTAAGTTGGCCCATAAATGCCAAGGCATAATAGAGGCTCTCTTTGTATTGTAACCCACTATTGTATATACACAATCTCAATGTACTGTTTGCAAAGACATTAAATAAATAAATAAATAAATAAATAAATAAATCTGCAACAGCATCAGACCACAGCTGAGGAACTTGCTTCAGAGGAGGAGGAAGAGGGAGTGGATGAGGTGCCTTCTTCACAGATTAAGGAGATTGTGCAATGTGGAATAGGGTGCAGGCATTTGCTGAAAAATATCACCCTGACCAAGCTGAAACAAGCCATCTCTGCAACAAGTTCAGCAACAGAATCATTTCCCATTTTAGGGAAATCTTAAAGAATCACCAGAGACAAAGGACTGTGGACAGTTATTTTGTGAGACAGGGGTTCAGTGACTCTCAAGTTGGTCCTAGTGGCATTAAAAGACAAAGAAGGGAAGTATCCCCAGATAAGGACTTGTTACCTAAAGTCTTTATGGAAGGGGATTCCCCTTCCAAACAATAAGCCCTCTCTCACTCCTCCCTATCTTCCAGGTGCCATCAACAGTCTTCAATAAAGGTAAGTAAAAATGTTATTTTAAACGTTTATTTAACCCTTTCAGGGTTTCTGATGTACTAGTATGGCTTACGCACCAGGGTTTTAGATGTACTAGTACGCCTAAATTCTAGCGCCCTCAAATCTAGTGAGAGAAAGCTGGTAGGCCTACATATGAAAGAATGCGTCTATGTGGTCAATGTGCGCAGTATAAAAAAAAAATCCTGCAGCACACAGTGCGTAATAAAAAAAAAAACTCTGACAGTGTTTTTGGTTTAAAACAGCGACTTTGCACTGTATTTTCATATAGTATTTATGATGGTATTCTAGTTTTCCTGGTCTCATTTTTATAGAATGGAAGACATATTACAGAAATTGAGACAATTTTGATTGGTTTTACAATAAAAAGTACCTTGAAATTGAGCTCAAAGTAGCAGAAATCTTCGATTTTTGCCAAAGCTCAAAAGTAAACAAATCATGCCACGCGTTCAATACACATCACCTGGTGAATCTAATATTCTTTCACAAGTGCACTGATATTATTTATACTATTTCTACACTAATGCAGTAGTCTGCATAACAGTAAATCTTCTATTTTTTGTGAGAATAAAAATTCAAAGTGGAAAGCAAAAGAATATAAGAGGGGTTTAGGGACATGACTAATGAACAGAAGAAATGTTATTTTTGTGCCAGGAATGTCTTTTTTGTTTATTCTGGACCCTATTTGGAAATTGGCATCTTTTGAAATTTGTGTGAAATTAGCAAAATTGCTAAATTCTGACCACTTTATTAGATAGTTGAAATCAGTAAATGGGTGGTTTCTTGTACTCATTCGATAGAAAAAATGGAGTTCTAGCAAAGTAATTATGATTTTTGTCATCTAGTACACTGGAATTGGCCAAAAATAGGGCTCAAAGTGGGCAAAATCGCCGATGTGTAAACATCGTTGAGACCGCTAAATTCGTGAGAGCATAATTCCGTAAGTTTTCCATCAAATTTCATACTTTTGGTGTCATTATGATCGGGAAAAGATTCTCTATCTTTTCATAAGAAAAAATAATTTTTTTTTTAAATTTGTCGGCCTTGAGAACAAGTCTGGGAGAGGGCCTGCCGACCCTGAAAGGGTTAAATGTTTATTTTTCTATTACTAATTTAGGTACTATTTATGTTTGTTGTGTGCATGTACAACTATAATTAATTTATAAAATGTATTTTTTGTTAATATTTTTGGATGTTTGAAATGGATTAATTGGATTTACATTATTTCTTATGGGAAATATTGCTTCGACTTTAGTACAGTGGACCTTTGATTATTGTCTGTTCCTGTTATTGGCCAACTTGGTGATCGGTTGGTTTTTCGGCTCCCGGTGATCGGCCATTATTTCGGTGATCGTCTGTTTCGGACGCGTCAGTTTGGCTGTGTCTTTCGGTGCATAAGGAAGCTTTTTTTTTTTTACAGTGCAACTGTGAAATAAGTGATCATTGCTCCAAAGAAAGTTCCTATGGAAAAGAAAGCAAGAAACACCATGGAATTTAAGCGTGAAGTGTAGCAGGCATGCAGGGAGTGTAGCAGGCATGCAGGGAGTGTAGCAGGCATGCAGGAAGTGTAGCAGACATGCAGGAAGTGTAGCAGGCATGCAGGGAGTGTAGCAGGCATGCAGGGAGTGTAGCAGGCATGCAGGAGTGTAGCAGGCATGCAGGGAGTGTAGCAGGCATGCAGGGAGTGTAGCAGGCATGCAGGAAGTGTAGCAGGCATGCAGGGAGTGTAGCAGGCATGCAGGAGGTGTAGCAGGCATGCAGGAAGTGTAGCAGGCATGCAGGGAGTGTAGCAGGCATGCAGGGAGTGTAGCAGGCATGCAGAAGTGTAAGCAGGCATGCAGGGAATGTAGCAGGCATGCAGGGAGTGTAGCAGGCATGCAGGGAGTGTAGCAGGCATGCAGGGAGTGTAACAGGCATGCAAGAAGTGTAGCAGGCATGCAGGGAGTGTAGCAGGCATGCAGGGAGTGTAGCAGGCATGCAGGAAGTGTAGCAGGCATGCAGGATGTGTAGCAGGCATGCAGAAAGTGTAGCAGGCATGCAGGGAGTGTAGCAGGCATGAAGGGAGTGTAGCAAGCATGTAGGGAGTGTAGCAGGCATGCAGGGAGTGTAGCAGGCATGCAGGGAGTGTAGCAGGCATGCAGGGAGTGTAGCAGGCATGCAGGAGTGTAGCAGGCATGCAGGGAGTGTAGCAGGCATGCAGGAAGTGTAGCAGGCATGCAGGAAGTGTAGCAGGCATGCAGGGAGTGCAGCAGGCATGCAGGGAGTGTAGCAGGCATGCAAGAAGTGTAGCAAGCATGCAGGGAGTGTAGCAGGCATGCAGGGAGTGTAGCAGGCATGCAGGGAGTGTAGCAGGCATGCAGGGAGTGTAGCAGGCATGCAGGGAGTGTAGCAGGCATGCAGGGAGTGTAGCAGGCATGCAGGAAGTGTAGCAGGCATGCAGGAAGTGTAGCAGGCATGCAGGAAGTGTAGCAGGCATGCAGAGAGTGTAGCAAACATGCAGGGAGTGTAGCAGGCATGCAGGGAGTGTAGCAGGCATGCAGGGAGTGTAGCAGGCATGCAGGAAGTGTAGCAGGCATGCAGGGAGTGTAGCAGGCATGCAGGAGTGTAGCAGGCATGCAGGAAGTGCAGCAGGCATGCAGGAAGTGTAGCAGGTATGCAGGAAGTGTAGCAGGCATACAGGAAGTGTAGCAGGCATGCAGGAAGTGTAGCAGGCATGCAGGAAGTGTAGCAGGCATGCAGGAAGTGTAGCAGGCATGCAGGAAGTGTAGCAGGCATGCAGGAAGTGTAGCAGGCATGCAAGAAGTGTAGCAGGCATGCAGGAAGTGTAGCAGGCATGCAGGAAGTGTAGCAGGCATGCAGGAAGTGTAGCAGGCATGCAGGAAGTGTAGCAGGCATGCAGGAAGTGTAGTGCAAGTGCAGGCATGCAGGAAGTGTAGCAGGCATGCAGGAAGTGTAGCAGGCATACAGGAAGTGTAGCAAGCATGCAGGAAGTGTAGCAGGCATGCAGGAAGTGTAGCAGGCATGCAGGAAGTATAGCAGGCATTCCAGAAGTCAGCATTAGTGTTCAATAAAGGCATGTAATACTGATTTAACTGTTAAAAAATTATTTTTTGGTAAATATTTTTGTCTGGGACAGATTAATTGTAATTACATTAATTCTTATGGGAAATATTATTTCGGTTTTCAGCCATTTCGGTTTTAGGCCGAGCTTCTGGAACAGATTACAGCCGATAACCGAGGGTCCACTGTACATTTCAAATTTAGTACTAGCTCCTGGAATGTATTAAGTATGAATCTTGTGGTTCCACTGTATTTATTGTTTATCTACTTCAAGTCTCTTCAAAGTTATATCAGTGACTTGCAAAATCATACTAACAAGATAGTAAGCAAGTCAGGAAGAGAAAGACTTGACTGATGATGAAGCAGTCATAACATTACTCAACCAGTGCTGTCATCACTATACCATGAGATCCTCAGTCATAACATTACTCAACCAGTGCTGTCATCACTATACCATGAGATCCTCAGTCATAACATTACTCAACCAGTGCTGTCATCACTATACCATGAGATCCTCAGTCATAACATTACTCAACCAGTGCTGTTATCACTATACCATGAGATCCTCAGTCATAACATTACTCAACCAGTGCTGTCATCACTATACCATGAGATCCTCAGTCATAACATTACTCAACCAGTGCTGTCATCACTATACCATGAGATCCTCAGTCATAACATTACTCAACCAGTGCTGTCATCACTATACCATGAGATCCTCAGTCATAACATTACTCAACCAGTGCTGTCATCACTATACCATGAGATCCTCAGTCATAACATTACTCAACCAGTGCTGTTATCACTATACCATGAGATCCTCAGTCATAACATACTCAACCAGTGCTGTCATCACTATACCATGAGATCCTCAGTCATAACATTACTCAACCAGTGCTGTTATCACTATACCATGAGATCCTCAGTCATAACATTACTCAACCACTGCTGTTATCACTATACCATGAGATTCTCAGTCATAACATTACTCAACCAGTGCTGTTATCACTATACCATGAGATCCTCAATCATAACATTACTCAACCAGTGCTGTCATCACTATACCATGAGATCCTCAGTCATAACATCACTCAACCACTGCTGTTATCACTATACCATGAGATCCTCAGTCATAACATACTCAACCAGTGCTGTTCATCACTATACCATGAGATTCTCAGTCGTAACATTACTCAACCACTGCTGTTATCACTATACCATGAGATTCTCAGTCATAACATCACTCAACCACTGCTATTATCACTATCATGAGATCCTCAGTCATAACATACTCAACCAGTGCTGTCATCACTATACCATGAGATTCTCAGTCATAACATTACTCAACCAGTGCTGTCATCACTACACTATCAGATCCTCAGTCATAACATTACTCAACCAGTGCTGTCATCATTACACTATCAGATCCTCAGTCATAACATTACTCAACCAGTGCTGTCATCACTATACCATGAGATCCTCAGTCATAACATTACTCAACCAGTGCTGTCATCACTACACTATCAGATTCCTCAGTCATAACATTACTCAACCAGTGCTGTCACATCAACTATCACACTATAGATCCTCAGTCATATAACTTACTCACACCAGTGCTGTCATCATTACTATGAGATCCTCAGTCATAACATTACTCAACCAGCACTGGAATCACTATACCATCAGATCCTCAGCCACAACATTACTCAACCAGTGCTGTCATTACTATACTATGAGATTGTCAGTCATAACATTACTCACCAGTGCTGTCATCACTTACATGATAGTCCTTCAGTATGATTACTCAACAATACTGTATCACTAACCATGAGATCCTAGTATACATTACTCACCAGTACGTCATTTTACAAGATCCTGTCATAACTATTATCCCAGTGTGTACTCCATGATACTTCAGTGTTTACAAAAAGTAATATTTTAGATTCATGATACAGCTTTAAGTGCCTAAAAAGATTTCCCTCAGCATATGGGATCAGGTTACAGTGGGTGGGTCATGATAATTCTAGTTAAAGAAATATACCAGTGACTTGTAGGCCTGCATAACATAGTAATAAGTGTTGGTTTGGTAATTTTAGCAAAACCTCACTATGGTCAAATCCTGCTCCATTCCTGAGTTGTGTAGTCATGATACTACAGTCTTGCAAGTCACTCATTCAAGACAAAACAATAGGGCTACTGTTGATATGATTACCAAAAGTCTCATTGCCTCTTCAATACTGATGATCAGGTTTACCAAGATCATATTTTCTTGAACAAATGTACACCTTAACACCCAAATACAGTGGACCCCCGCCTAACGATATTATTTCAATCCAGAAGTCTGTTTGGGTGCCGTTATAGACCGAATTTGTTCCCATAAGAAATATTGTGAATTAGATTAGTCCGTTTCAGACCCCCAAAAATACACCTACAAAAGCACTTACAAAAATACACTTACATAATTGGTCAAGTTGGGAGCTGATCATTAGGCGGGGGTCCACTGTACTGAGGTCTTGACTGTTAGAGATGGAACTTACTTTGAGAATGTGTCCAGTACTATATATTACCTTTTACATACATTCAGTCTCCATGGGGGAGTGGAAAAGAATTCTTCCTCTGTAAGCCATGCATGTTGTAAAAGGCAACTAAAATGCCAGGAGCAAGGGGCTAGTTACCCTTTTCCTTCATGCATTACTAAATTTAAAAAGATAAACTTTTGTTTTTCTTTTTAGGTCACCCTGCCTTGGTAGTATATGGCCGGTTTGTTGAAAAAATATTGTACATAAAAACAAAGTTTCATTGCAATATATAAATAAACTGCCTCTCAATATGGGCACCAGAGGGTGCAATGCATAAAATTTATATAAATAAGTAAGTTTATTCAGGTAAGTATTCAGGTGTACAGTATTGTGTAACTGTATTCTAAGGAATACAAAATTCCAAACAATGCTCTCAATCCTTAAAAAAGGTCAGAAAATTGGATAGAGGAAAAAAATTCTGCCTATTCTGCCTATCTTTTGAGGGTTTGTCTGTTCATTGTTGAAGAATCACTTATGACTTGAAGACCCAGAAAAAATTAAACTGGGAGAGTAAGTTACCTGGAGTTTTCATGAAGTGGCTCACAGTCCTCAACTACCATCTTGTCTTGCTTCCCAGGTGAACCTATACTTTCAGCTTCTGCCAGGACGCTAGTTGACTGTGAGAACTGCGATACTTGTGATGAGTCACACTTCATCTGAGAATCCTGTGGGTTAGCAGACTTATCTTACACTAGGGCTCCACACATATGCACCAGAACACACATTATCACTGACACAGGTAAAAACCACCACTAAACTAGTGAATCTGTGTAGGTTCGAATATGAATAATGAATACCTACTCTAAAACAATTTTTATATAATATAAAAAATTTACTGCCCCAAAAAACGATTTTTTAATTACATTTACCATCAAAACCAATTTTAAAGATATTAAATTGACGAAGTCAACTACCTATGCATCACAAAAAATCTTTATACCAGATTTTGGATAACATACATAGTAATAATGGTAGAATTACTGACAAAATGTTAGGTAAAAGAACACAATGTAATTAATGTGACATTTTATGGCATTAGTTGCATCTGTCTCCCTTTACCTAACATGGAATACATAGGTTAGGTTAGGTTTGTCAGAAAACAGGACAAGCGTTTCCTGACATGGGTCTTAGATGATGACTCGCCACTGGAGCTTTTGGTCATCCGACTGAGGCCTTCCACTGGCTTACTGGTCCATCCCTTTAATAATCTTACAGTCTTGTTGCTGTCTAACCTTTCAAGCTTCAGGAGCCGAAGGCTAAAAGAAGTGATTTAAACAACAGCAACTGATTTTCTCTCTCAAAGTAGCTCTCATTTACACAAATCAGTCATCAATCAATACACAGGTATATGCATATTCTGTACAGTTACATCTCATTAATTCAAAATCACAGGAGATATATTTGAGTTGTGGAGCATCATTGTACTTGCCAGATAATGATCAATATATTTACTTAGAAGAATAACAGAAGAAGGCACAGTAAACTCTTGATATAACAGACTTTTAAAATTACAGGTAACTCCTTTAATTTTCAATACTAATTATAGTACAATGGACCCCTGGTTTGCGAAGTCACCGGTAACTGATAAATCCAGTATCCAAAGCGTTATATCGCCAAAAAATTGCCCCAGTTCCCGTAACAAAACCCGGTACGCGATACGATTCGTACAAGACGTGTCCACATGTGGCCTGAACTGCCCCGTGTGTGCCAGTGTTTACAAACCAGCCAGTGTGCACGTATCTAAGGATACATTCGGTACATTCCATATTATCCATATTATCACTGTTTCTGGTGCTTGTTTCTGCAAAATAAGTCACCATGGGCCTCAACAAAGCTTCTAGTGCCAACCCTTCGAGACCAAGGGTGCTAATGACTATTGAAATGAAGAAAGAGATAATTGCAAAGTATGAAAGTGGAGTGTGTGTGTCGGACCTGGCCAAGTTGTATAGTAAATCCCAATCAACCATCTCTACTATAGTGAGCAGGAAAACGGCAATCAAGGAAGCTGTTCTTGCAAAAGGTGCAACTGTGATTACAAAACAGTGATCGCAAGTGTTAGAAAATGTTGAGAGACTGTTACTGGTGTGGGTAAATGAAAAACAGATAGCTGGAGATAGCATCTCTCAAGCGATCATTTGTGAAAAGGCTAGGCAGTTGCATGAGGATTTAATTAGAAAAATGCCTGCAACTAGTGGTGATGTGAGCGAATTTAAGGCCAGCAAAGGTTGGTTTGAAAGATTTAAGAATCATAGTGGCATACATAGTGTGAGTAGACAGCAGAAGTCCAGTGACTCTCAAGCTGGTCCCCTTCTAAACATTAAAAACTTCGACACTCTCCCCTCCTCCCTTCCCATCAATCATCACCAGATCTTCATTAAAGGTAAGTGTCAATTATTCTATTGTGTTTATTCTATTTTTATTATTGCTATTGTAATTATTCTATTTCATTAAACTTAATATTTCATATGGTAAAAGTTTTTTTTTTCATACTTTTGGGTGTCTTGCACAGATTAATTTGATTTCCATTATTTCTTATGGGGAAAATTGATTCGCTTTCCGATAATTTTGCTTTAAGATGAGCTCTCAGGAACAGATTAATGACGTGAACCGGGGGTCCACTGTATATACAATAGTTCCCCCATATCTGTGGGGGATATGTTCCAAGACCAGACCACGGTGGCCCACAGCCTTATGGCAAAAGCTCTTGCTTCACACGGTGAGGGTCTGGGTTTAATTCCTGGCAAGGGTAGGTACATTGGGCATGTTTCCTTACATCAGCTGTCCATGTTCATCCATCAGTAATACATGTAATGGATACCTGGGTGTTAGTCAACTTGTGTGGGTCGCATCCTGGGACAAAACTGACCTAATTTGCCCAAAATGCTCTGCATAACAAGGGGCTTTCTATATACCAGTAGTATGTCACTGATGTCAGCTAGGCCTGTATGCCTTGTACATGTACAGTGGACCCCCGCCTTATGATATTAATCCGTTCCTGAGAGCTCATTGTATGTCGAAATTATCGTAAGGTGAATTAATTTTCCCCATAAGAAATAATGGAAATCAAATTAATCCGTTCCTGACACCCCAAAGTATGAAAAAAAAAATTTTTACCACATGAAATATTAATTTTAATACACACAAACTGAAGAAGACATGCACAGTTAATACTCTACTAAGAATAGAATACATGACACTTACCTTTATTGAAGATCTGGCGATGATTGATGGGATGGGAGGAGGGGAGAGTGTGGAAGTTGTTATTATTTAGAAAGGAAATCCCCTTCCATTAGGACTTGAGGTATCAAGTCCTTTTCCGGGGTTAATTCCCTTCTTCTTTTAATGCCACTAGGACCAGCTTGAGAGTCATTGGACCTCTGTCGCACAACATATCTGTCCATAGAGGCCTGTACCTCTCGTTCCTTTATGATTTGTCTAAAGTGGTTCACAACATTGTCATTGTAATAGTCACCAGCATGGCTTGCAATAGCTGTGTAAGGGTGATTTTCATCCATAAAGGTTTGCACTTCAAGCCACTTTGCACACATTTCCTTAATCTCTTTTTTCAGTTCCATACTAATTCTCACCCTTTTTGCCACAGGGCTGGCACTAGAAGCTTTCTTGGGGTCCATGGTGACTTATTTTGCAGTTACAAGCACTAAAAACATTGGGATAATGTGGAATGTATCGAATGTATGCATAGATGCGACCGCACTGGCTGGCTTGTAAATACTGGTGCTGAGGCCACATGTGGGATGCATCCTGGACGAATCATGTAAGGTGAGTTTTTTAGCATGAGGCGAGGCAAAATTTTTGCATTAAAATGTATCGTATGGCGGATTTAACGTAACGCGATGCCATTGTAAGACGGGGGTCCACTGTACTTGTAGAAATAAAGATATTATTATTATTATTATTATTGCCATGAATACCAGAAACTGTGGATAGTAGTGAACCCTCTATATAAGTCTTTTTTCATTTACACACATACCTATGATGAAGTTTAATTGATAAATTATGCACAATAATGTGGAGAATTATCACTTTCTCATTGATGGGAAGCATTACATGGATTCTCTTAGGTTCTGAAGAACTTCCAGTATCACTACTTTTGTGCTTTGATGTTATTATTAAGCAAAATTAAGGCTTATTTTCAGGCCAAAGTAAACCACGGATAACTGAAATTGCGAAAACCAAATCGGTGGATACCGGGTTTCTACTGTATGTTAACTGTTTGTACAGTACTATATTAAGTAGAGTACTTCAGTACTTTTTTTTGGTATTTTTTTTAATATTATTCAGATTTAAAAGACACTCAGACAACCCCCTCCCCACATTAGTCTGTTATATTGAGGGTTTAATGTATAGTTACGGTGTAATGTATGCAATACCAGCTGGAAAATGAGAAGGTAGATTATGAGAATGGTCGCAACAAGAGAAACTTCACCAGTGATGGTACTTGTCAAGTTACTTGTGGGCAGCAAGATTTCACTGGGGGAGAATTTTTCAATGAATATTGCTCTGTGCCCACTGTACCATGCAGGGAAGGTAGAAATTAAAAGATGTGGGGTGACAAAGGGTATAAGTCAGAGGTATGAAAAGAGGTTGGAAAAATAAACACATAGTCAGTATAATGTGATCCTTTATTGATAACGTTTCACCCACACAGTGGACTTAATCAAGTCACAAACAGATCAAATCTGTTTGTGACTTGATAAATTCCACTGTGTGGGTGAAATGTTGTCAATAAAGGATCACATTATACTGCTTATGTGTTTATTTTTCCATTGTGTTGGTATTTTATACCATTTATTTCCATCTATGAAAAGAGGTTGTTGAGGTGATTGGGCATGTAGAAAGGATGGAGAGGAATAGGTTGATAAAGAGGGCATATAAATCTGGAGATGAACATAGGAGGAAAAGAGAACCTTTCAAGGCAGGTGAAATTGCTGACTTAGAAAATGTACAGAGAACCTTCACGGTACACATAACTGTGATACTCAATTACTGGGAACGCTTGAAGTTCCTCAACCTGTACTCCCTAGAATGTAGGCAGGAGAGATACATGATTATATACACTTGGAAAATCCTAGAAGGATTAGTACCAAACTTGCACACGAAAATCACTCCCTACGAAAGCAAAAGACTTGGCAGACGATGCAACATCCCCCAATGAAAAGCAGGGGTGCCACTAGCACGATAAGAGACAACACAATAAGTGTCAGGGGCCCAAGACTGTCCAACTGTCTCCTGGCATACATAAGGGGGATTACAATAGACCCCTGGCTGTCTTCAAGCAGGCACTGGACAAGCACCTAAAGTCAGTACCTGACCAGCCGGGCTGTGGGTCATACATTGGACTGTGTGTAGCCAGCACTAACAGCCTGGTTGATCAGGGCCTGATCCACCTTGAGGCCTGGTTGCAGACTGGGCTGCAGGGGCATTGACCCTTGGAACTCTCTCCAGGTATACCCCAGGTATGGAATAAACCTTGGTAATGAATACTGGCAAGTTAGTTTAGAAAGACACATAAGCAAACACTATGACATATTTATTTATTTATAATTTGAGCACACTTACAGAGGTACAAAAAAAATACAGATAAGAGCAGCATGCCAAAGCCACTTATACTATGCATAGCATTACGGGCTGGCTTAAAATTAACTTAAGATTAACTAAGCAATGATGAAATCAGTGAAAAACATTAATGTAAACTGATTACTATAAAGCACAAGTGAGTATTACAAAGACAGGTCATATGGTTGCATGCATTGTTATAAATTCAGTAGAATGGAGTATTCTGTTAGGTAGTGTATTTAAAAAATAATAGAAAACGTTAGAAAACGTTTCAGTCCTGGGACCTTGATCACTTCTAACATACAGAAGTAGAAAGACATTATATATAGGTGGAGAGTGAGGTGTGAGTGATGCATGGTGACCTGAAGAATGCCATGTTTGGATGAGGATGGGTAGATGATGAGATCATGTGACTCCTCTGTTGTTGGGTTGGTGGTGCTTAGCCTGCTTGAGTATCATGTATGCTAATGTTTTAGAAATTTTGTGGTTTCCAGTGTTATGTTCTATTGTGTCGGTGATGGTGTAACACTGGAAACCACAAAATTTCTAAAACATTAGCATACATGATACTCAAGCAGGCTAAGCACCACCAACCCAACAACACAGGAGTCACATGATCTCATCATCTATCCGTCCTCATCCAAACATGGCATTCTTCAGGTCACCAAGTGTCACTTACACCTCACTCTCTGCCTGTATATAATGTCTTTCTACCTCTGTATGTTAGAAGTGATCAAGGTCCCAGGACCGAAACATTTCCTAATAAATATGTCATAGTGTTTGCTTATGTGTCTTTCTAAACCACACTCCAGGTATACATTCCAGGAAGGGCAGAAGGGAAAGGGTACAAGAGGCTTTGAGTTTTAGGGCCTTGAGCATCCAGCAGGCTTGTGTGAGTGTGTTAAATAGAAGTGTATGGAGACAAGTGGCTTTTAATGGATGCACTGGTTAGAGGGCAAGCAGGATATCTTTCATGAAAAAAATTTAGAAAAATTGATTAGTTGGACTTGAGACCTGGAGGTGGTAAGTAAAGTACCTGAACTTTGGATGGGGGGGAGGGGATGTTGAATATAGTGGGGTAATCTCACTGTAATGTCAGCACACTTCTGGAAAGATGGTAATTCAGTGAATGGTGATGATTGTGTTTTCTTCTTTGGGTCACCTGGACTGTTTTCTTTGGACCTTGTTCTTAAGTTAGATCACCGAAAGTTGGAAAGTTGTAAGTTGGGGTGTTACTGTATTTGTTTAGTTAACTGTGTATCTTACTATAGTCTTTGAGTAACCAATCAATTTAGATTTCTTGTATTCATTACATTTTTGGCTTATATTCTCAACTGATGGTTCCTTTACTTACTCTTTTACTTTTGTTGTTCCTTCTTTCTATCTTTCTTGTTATATTATCCCTCTCACTATTCTAGAGGTAGAGAATAAGGAAGGAAGAAAGGAGTAAGGGAGGGAGGAAGATAAAAAGTAAGAGTGAGATATCTACTGCATAGCCATATGATACATCAAAAATAGGGCACTTAATAAATAGGGCCCCTAATAATCTAAGTAGGGTAATATATGAACACTCATATTCACAAGGGTTGTCTTTCTAGAGGTCTAGTGAATCTAGAATTTGTGAATGCAAGATTTTGCCCATATACTTTTTTTTTTTTTTAAGATTTGGGCCCACTCTATGTTTGAGATATTTTTTTATATTCCCTCTCAATCTCGTTAATACTGGCATTCATAAAAAAATACCCAAAACAGAAGATATTTAGGTTTGGAAAAAAACACTGAGCAAATGCTAGATAAAACTTCTGGTTATTTTTCAGTTTAGGGGTTGTGTGTGAAGCCAAAAATGGGAAATGTAAAAATTTTGTACAATGCAATATAAGGTATTACAAAGCTTGTGAATTTGAGGATCTGACTGTAATATGTAAACATAATCTCTTACCTTGGGCACACAACCTGGAGACGGTAGTGGCGTATCTTCTACATAGGAGCGTAAACTTTCAGCAACGTGTGAGTGAGAGCAGATAATCTTGCCCGAGGCTGAGGCAGTGCTGCCCCTTGCTGAGCCTGGCTCTGCTTTAACTGATGTAGCCTGGGAGTCGGGGCGCCGCAAGTGAGTAGCAGAACATTTAGTACTTGAGTTCTGCCAACAACAATAGCTTTTAAATGATACTAAAATTGTATAATTTCCTCAGTCAAAATTTGGCCTCTGTGTTAACAAGAATGAAAGCCATGAAATAGTTAATTATTATTATTATGAAACAATACACATGAGTAACTGACCTTTGGTGACTGGTCTGTGTGGACTGGTGAAGGCTTGTCTGCCTCTGTAGGTATGCCTGGTATGTGTGCTAGAGGTGAGTGGAAGGCCGTATGTTGGTAAACTATGTTAGGCAGCACAAGTGGAGCAGCACTGAAGAGAGGTGATGCCACAGTCTGGTACATCACACCAGGAAGATCACCCATGTACTGCAGAGGGATGGCCACACCTGCATCAAGTACAAATGATAAGATGGAAGAGGTAGTAAAATAATAATCAAGTAAACATCTGTTTTCAATGTACAGTACATGAAAAACATTCTAGTACTCTTTACAGAAACTACCACTGGAATGACTAATAGTCATTCCACTTGTCCACTCTTTAATACAAAAAATAACTTCATTTAAAAATATTACAAGTATAGAAGTAGCACACAGGTGTAAATTACTAATAGTAATATTTTAGCAAAGCTCATACTATATTTGGCATTTTGAGAATAACTTAACCCTTAAACGGTCCAAACGTATATATACGTTTTTTCAACATTTGAAAGTATGTAAAAAAATGCACATCATCTTTTTTTTTTTACATTTGAAAATGTGTAAAAAAACTTTTATCTACACTTTTTTTTTGTTATATTTGAAAATATGTAAAAAAAACATAGATCTACTTTTGGAGCACTACGGATTTGAACGTTGATCTATTTGGACCATTTAAGGGTTAATCTAACACTGCAATTCTATCAAGAGTATTTAATGGAGAATACGAAATAACAAATGTCTGCATATACAAAAATAACATTTTAGAAACCAGAATAATATAACAATGAAAAAGAGATAGGACTAGTCATCAACAAATTAAGCATTACAGTACGTTGTTAACAAGAACATAAGAATAATAATTTGAACTCTGCTGTATATTTCAAGAAATGCAAAAAAGAAAAATATACTCTTCTTTCTTTCAATATATCAGATGTATCCCACTGAAACAGGGTGGCCCAAAAAGAAAAACAAAAGTTCCTCTTTTTAAATTTAGTAATATATACAGGAGAATGGGTTACTAGCCCCTCGTTCCCGGCAAGAAAAATTTTGTTATTTTTTATTAATAACATATCGGCCATCTCCCACCAAGGCAGGGTGGCCCGAAAAAGAAAAACTTTCATCATTCACTCCATCACTGTCTTGCCAGAGGTACACTAACACTACAGTTATAAAACTGTAACATTAACACCCCTCCTTCAGAGTGCAGACACTGTACTTGCCATCTCCAGGACTCAAGTCTGGCCTGCCTGTTTCCCTGAATCCCTTCATAAATGTTATCTTGGTCACCTTCCAACAGCATGTCAAGTCCTAAAAAGTATTTCTCTCCATTTGCTCCTATTAAACATGCTCATGCATGCTAGCTGGAAGTCCAAGCCCCTCACACACAAAGCCTTTTTTTTACCCTCTCCCTCCAACCTTTAATAGGCAGACCCCTACCCCACCTTCCCTCCACTACAGATTTATGCACTCTCAAAGTCATTCTATTTTGTTCCATCCTCTCTACATGTCCAAACCACCTCAACAACCCTTCCTCAGCCCTTTGGATAATAGTTATGGTAATGGCACACCTCCTCCTAATTTCCAAACTATAAATTCTCTGCATTATATTTACACCACACATTGCCCTCAGACATGACATTTCCACTGCCTCCAGCCTTCTCCTTGTTGCAACATTCACGACCCATGTTTCACACCCATATAAGAGTGTTGGTATAACTATACTCATATATTCTCCTCTTTGCTTCCATGGAAAAAATTCTTTGTTTCCACAGACTCCTAAGTGCACCACATCACTTTTTCTCCTCATCAGTTCTATGATTCACCTCATCCTTCATAGGCCCATCTGCTGACATGTCCACATTCACCTTCTCTATACTCTCTGTTTCCAATCTGATATCCAATTTTTTGTCCCCCATTTTTTTTGTTATCCTCATCACCTTAGTCTTTCCTATATTCACTTTTATCTTTCTTCTTTTACAGTAGACTGTCATTTAACATGGTAGTTGCATTTCTGAAAATGCCGTTTTAGTTAAAATCATGTTAGACAAACTGAAGAACTTATGGGAAAAATAGGGTTACGTTCATGGGAGCCCGCAAAAAGCCAAACTTTTTTTAGGCCAATGGGTCTTACAAAGATAAATGTGAATATGTAATTGTAGTTCATTGTTGTGATGCTTTATGTTGTTTTTACTGCTTAAGATTACAAACGTGACAGAAATAATAGTATTTCTTTGCTTAAATTGTGGGTGCTGGTGTTTGTAGATGATTGTGGAGAGTTATGCTGTGGCCCTACTGGGCTGAGGTGGATAGTAGAGGTTCTGGTACTGAAGTCGATGATTGTACAGGATTGTGCATATATTCTGTAATGGATTTCTTTTCTATTTTACCCAGCAGTACATTATACAACTGACTGTAAGGCATTAGCTGCTCTAGACACCATTTCAGTGAAAAAGTCTAACTTTAAGTCAGTCAGTAAATCAGTCAAGTCAGTAAGACAGTCAATAAGTCAGTCAAGTCAGTAAGTCAACCAAGTCAGTAAATCAGTCAAGTCAGCAAGTCAGCCAGTCAAGTCAGTAAGTCAAGTCAGTCAGTAAGTCAAGTTAGTAAGTCAGTCAGTAATATAGTCAATCAATAAGTCAGTCAGTTACTCATATAAGTCAGTAAATCAGTCAGTCAGTCAGGTCAGTCAAGTCAGTTAAGTCAGTCAAGTCAGTTAGTCAGTATGTCAGTCAGTCAAGTCAGTATGTCAGTCAGTCAAGTCAGTATGTCAGTAAGTCAAGTCAGTATGTCAGTAAGTCAAGTCAGTATGTCAGTCAGTCAAGTCAGTAAGTCAAGTCACTCAGTAAGTCATCACACAAACTCATATTTACCTCATTCTTTTTATGTGCACAAAGATATGCTTCATTATGGCCACTGGCTATCTCCTGCCTAATATCTCTATTTTCTTTGTTAATTCTAAGACTTAAATACTTAAGCCTTTTCTTGCCACTTTAGCAACACTTGTATGCCTACTGGGTGTCATGACTGCTTGGCATATTTAAGATATGGCAAGAAGATATAAACTCCTAGCAGAGGATGGTACGTATCCCACGTTCAACACGCTCAAAATTTTTTCTCCTCCTGCGAATCGTGTTAAGTTAATTTTACGAAGTGTTGCACAAAAATATGCCGCAATTCTTCAATCATGCTATAACCAAAATGTGCCAGACAAAACCATGTTAAATGACAGTTTACTGTACATACCCTACCAAACTCATTCACCAACATATGCAACTTCTCTTCAGAATCTCCCAAAAGCACAGTGTCATCAGTAAAGATTCTTTATCTTTTAACTCCAAATCTCTTGCAAACACCCGAGCACTCACTTCTCTTACAACCCCATCTGTAAATATACTGAACAACCGTGGTGATATCACACATCCTTGTCTAAGGCCTACTTTTACTGGGAAATAAACTCCCTCTCTCCTACATACTCTAATCTGGGAATCACTATCCTCGTAAAAACTCTTCACCGCTTTCAGTAACCTACCTCCTATTCCATACATCTGCAACATCTGCCACATTGCTCCCCCTATCCACCCTGTCATAAGCCTTTTCCAAATCCATAAATGCCACAAAAACCACTTTACAATTTTGTAAATACTGTTCACCTATATGTTTCACTGTAAACACTTGGTCCACACACCCACTACCTTTCCTAAAGCCTCCTTGTTCATCTGCTATCCTACTCTCTGTCTTTCTCTTAATTCTTTCAGTAATAAATCTACCATACACTTTAAAAGGTATACTCAACAGACTTATTCTCCTATATTTTTTGCACTCTCTTTTGTCCTCTTTGCTTTTATACAAAGGAACTATGCATGCTCTCTGCCAATCCCTGGGTACCTTATCCTCTTCCATACATTTATTAAATAAAAGCACCAACCACTCCAAAACTATATCCCCTCCTGCTTTTAACATTTCCATCTTTATCCCATCAATCCCAGCTGCCTTACCCCCTTTCATTCTACCCACTGCCTCACGAACTTCCCCCACATTTACAACTGGCTCTTCTTCACTCCTAGAATATGTTATTCTTCCTTGCTCTATACATGAAATCACAGTTTCCTTATTTTCATCAACGCAGGAGTTTACACTGTACCCTGTGGAGGCTGTGACAAGATTTACGTAGGTGAAACAGCAAGAAACCTCGACACTTGCCTCAATGAACACATTTACTCATGTAGGAACGATAACTTGAATAACGCCTGTGTACAACACCAAAATTCTACCAATCATCTCATGAAATTCAGAGACGCCCAATTAGTGATGAAAGAAACTAATTTCCGCAGACGCAAGTGCCTCGAATCAGCACTGATCGCTGTTTTGAATACAATTAAACAAAACAACGGCAGCTTCACCCTCTCTGAAGTCTTAGCAAGAATCCTCCTGAAAACAGTAAACCCTGCCATCACATAGTCTCTCCTGTTATACTACACAAAGCACATTACAGAGAGTGAACACTGAAACAACCTGCCTCTTTCCAGTCTATATTTGTCCAACCTATTTTTATGTTACCCAAGTAATAGCTTTTATATCCTTTTACTCATGTGCGAATTAATTGCTCTACCATATTGTATTACTACTACTACTACTACAACTTTTGTCACTACTACTACTACTACTACTACCACTAGTGAGCATCTAAATGGTACCTCACTAGTATTGCACCTCACTCTGAGCCTTTATATACCCTCTGTGTCCATGTATTGTTTGTAATGGCTTGATAAAGCTCCTGGAGAGCGAAACGTTGCCACAATAAAATGTCACATTAGTTGCACTTGTGTCCTTTTACTTTACATATTGTCGGTAATTCTACCAACTTTATTACAATATTTTTACCTGTCAAATCCATTTGTTCCCTAGGCTTCCTCAACCTGTTAATCTCACTCCAAAAGTTTTCTTATTTTCAACAAAATTTGTTGATAACATCTTGCCCACTCTCTCAATTGCTCTCGTTTTATGTTGTTTCACCACTCTCTTAACCTCTCTTTTTCTCTCCATATACTCTTCCCTCCTTGCATCACTTCTACTTTATAAAAACCTCTCATAAATATACTTTCAGTCTTAGCTACAAAGATTATTTACTCTCCAACTAATTACTCTTTAAATTCCTTCTGCTCACTGTATTTTGTGTTCCAACTAGCACATTAAACAATAAACTTTATTTCCTAGTTCTTACCACTGACACTTCCTTCCTTCATATTTTGCAGATGAAGGGCCTTTCATCTCAACATATAAATGACCTAGCTGCCAAGGTAAAAACTGTAGAATTATTGGGTATATAAAAAACAGGAGCTACCCATACATCAATACTCTTGCATCAGCACTGTCTGTCTGTCTTAAAGATATCCTGCATGAAACAAAATTTGCTTTATCAACGATGCTATTCTTGGCAAAAAACAATCTTCAGAAGAGTTATCATACAATACATAATAACTGTAATAACTAAGTACTCACCTTGATACTGTGGTGACTGCTGTGAGGCCATGACAGGTGTAGGCCTAGTTATAGTGAGAGATGCGGTACCCACCTTGATACTGTGGTGACTGCTGTGAGGCCATGACAGGTGTGTGCCCTAGTACTACATAGTGAGAGATGAAGTACCCACCTTGAGGCTGTATAAAAGTTGACTGTTGTGTGGGCATGACAAGTGTGGGTCCAGGCACTCGAGTTATGTTCAGAGGATCAACAGGAGGCAGAGGGTTCACAGTAAATGCACTTGTTGGGAAGTAAAATCCTGGCACAATGCCTGGATATGAAGGAGAAGGTAAACTGCTGCCTCCCTGGCCACTGCTGTGTCCTGCACCTGCTCCACTCGGACTGTAACCAAACACAAATACTTTTATTTCTTTAGTTTAAAACAAATGCAAGTTGAAATACACATAATATTGGAACATGCAATGTGCTAACTGAACTTTCTCTCAAAACCTTGTGTATGAGTGACTGTACTCTCAAAATCTTGTGTATGAGTGACTGTATTCTCAAAACCTTGTGTATGAGTGACTACTCTCAAAAAATGTGTATAATTGACTGAACTCTCAAAACCTTGTGCATGAGCGACTGAACTCTCAAAACCTTGTGCATGAGTGACTGAACTCTCAAAACCTTGTGCATGAGCAACTGTACTCTCAAAACCTTGTATATGAGTGACTGTACTCTCAACTCTGTATACTACTGACATTATGGTATTCTCTAAACAAGACTGTTGTCAATGATCATTCAACATGCTGTTAATGTTTCCAGAGATCAACTTCTCTGTGGTAGTCACAAGCCTGGCCTTCTAAATTGGAAAATAAATATTACAGCACTGAGAACAACTACAAATCATGCAGGAAAGTACCATGTACATGTACATAAAAACTTGTAACATTCGCCTTCCATCTGTTATGTTCATAAAACAGAATGATCACCAATCCTGTCAGATTGTAAATCGTTTAACAGTTTTCCATTTTACACTTACATGACAGGACAGTAGTACATCCCTGATACTTGTAATATTATACACCATCATTTACTTGTTTTTTTTTTAACACACTGGCCGGCTCCCACTGAGGTAGGGTGACCCAACAAAGAAACACTTTCACCATCATTCACACTACCACAGATACGACAGTTTAGATGTCACTCTTAAACAGCAGATATCCCAAACCCTTCCTTCAGAGTGCAGGCACTGTACTTCCTACCTCCAGAACTCGAGTCTAGCTACCCAGTTTCCCTGAATCCCTTTACAAAATATGCATGATAATCTATGTAACTGTACTTGTGTATACCTGAATAAACTTACTTACTATATACTCAAAGGAAACACTAGCAAATTTCAATTAGGAATAGTTCACAACCATTTATCACACTGCTAACTTGACTTTGATGGGACTTATTTAAATAATAAAATGTTATTACTGAGAATAAGCTCCAATAAACAGAAAAAAGTTAATATAGTTAACACATCAAACCTGACAGCAATTTAACACAACATTTAGTGGTTGATGTGGTTCACCACTACTACTAGAACACCAGCCAGGGAACAATGTTTAGTGGTTGATGTAGTTCACCACTACTACTAGAACACCAGCCAGGGAACAATGTTTAGTGGTTGATGTGGTTCACCACTACTACTAGAACACCAGCCAGGGAACAATGTTTAGTGGTTGATGTAGTTCACCACTACTACTAGAACACCAGCCAGGGAACAATGCTTAGTAGATGATGTTCACCACTACTAGAACACCAGCCAGGGAACAATGTTTAGTAGATGATATTCACCACTACTAGAACACCGGCCAGGGAACAATGTTTAGTAGATGATGTTCACCACTACTAGAACACCGGCCAGGGAACAATGTTTAGTAGATGATGTTCACAGCCACTAGAACACCAGCCAGGGAACACAACAAACATTATAAATGTTAAAGACACAATAAACCTCAGGAAATCATTAGTTGCAATGTAGGTGATAGACAAAGCATCAAGACCTTAGTATTACAGTATAACCTAAATTTTTAAAAGGATGGATGGGTAAGCCAGTAGAATGCTTGAGTCAGATGACAAAAAGTGCCACTGGCAGGTCATCATGTGACTAAGACTTGCATCAGGACAGTGATGCTCAATATGGCTGATAAGTGTAAATCATCTGACTGAAGCCACATGACTGTAAAACCTTAATATTTACTGACTAGTAAAACAGTGTTATGATATAATACTGTGCTGACCTAACTTTAATATGTTTACCATGCTTTAAAAAGCTTCTTATATCCAAAGCCCACAAGACTGCCTGAAATGCCTTGGTATGATAGTGGGTTTCTTTGTTCCAATCAAATTATGAAATGTAAACACACATTGTAACCTCTGAAAGGAAATAAAATTTTAATTTTTTTATTTTAAGTACTACTGGGTCTGAAAAATAAAGATTTTGTTGCACAGTGTTACACCCTTTGTTTACAATTTAAGAAGGGTTATTTGATTAGTGTGTAATTATTATTATATAAATTAAATATTAAAATAAGCGGTATGCACCTGGAGAAGAGAGAAGTGTAGAGGAGAGAGAGAGATTTTGGGAAATGTTGAGTGAATGCGTGGGGAGTTTTGAATCAAGTGTGAGAGTAATGGTGGTTGGGGATTTTAATGCTAAAGTGGGTAAAAATGTTATGGAGGGAGTAGTAGGTAAATTTGGGGTGCCAGGGGTAAATGTAAATGGGGAGCCTTTAATTGAGCTATGTGTAGAAAGAAATTTGGTAATAAGTAATACATATTTTATGAAAAAGAGGATAAATAAATATACAAGGTATGATGTAGCACGTAATGAAAGTAGTTTATTAGATTATGTATTGGTGGATAAAAGGTTGATGGGTAGGCTCCAGGATGTACATGTTTATAGAGGGGCAACTGATATATCGGATCATTATTTAGTTGTAGCTACAGTTAGAGTAAGAGGTAGATGGGAAAAGAGGAAGGTGGCAACAACAAGTAAGAGGGAGGTGAAAGTGTATAAACTAAGGGAGGAGGAAGTTCGGGTGAGATATAAGCGACTATTGGCAGAAAGGTGGGCTAGTGCAAAGATGAGTAGTGGGGGGGTTGAAGAGGGTTGGAATAGTTTTAAAAATGCAGTATTAGAATGTGGGGCAGAAGTTTGTGGTTATAGGAGGGTGGGGGCAGGAGGAAAGAGGAGTGATTGGTGGAATGATGAAGTAAAGGGTGTGATAAAAGAGAAAAAGGTAGCTTATGAGAGGTTTTTACAAAGCAGAAGTGTTATAAGAAGAGCAGAGTATATGGAGAGTAAAAGAAAGGTAAAGAGAGTGGTGAGAGAGTGCAAAAGGAGAGCAGATGATAGAGTGGGAGAGGCACTGTCAAGAAATTTTAATGAAAATAAGAAAAAATTTTGGAGTGAGTTAAACAAGTTAAGAAAGCCTAGGGAAAATATGGATTTGTCAGTTAAAAACAGAGTAGGGGAGTTAGTAGATGGGGAGATGGAGGTATTGGGTAGATGGCGAGAATATTTTGAGGAACTTTTAAATGTTAAGGAAGAAACAGAGGCAATAATTTCATGCACTGGTCAGGGAGGTATACCATCTTTTAGGAGTGAAGAAGAGCAGAATGTAAGTGTGGGGGAGGTACGTGAGGCATTACGTAAAATGAAAGGGGGTAAAAGCAGCTGGAACTGATGGGATCATGACAGAAATGTTAAAAGCAGGGGGGGATATAGTGTTGGAGTGGTTGGTACTTTTGTTTAATAAATGTATGAAAGAGGGGAAGGTACCTAGGGATTGGCAGAGAGCATGTATAGTCCCTTTATATAAAGGGAAAGGGACAAAAGAGACTGTAAAAATTATAGAGGAATAAGCTTACTGAGTATACCAGGAAAAGTGTACGGTAGGGTTATAATTGAAAGAATTAGAGGTAAGACAGAATGTAGAATTGCGGATGAGCAAGGAGGTTTTAGAGTGGGTAGGGGATGTGTAGATCAGGTGTTTACATTGAAGCATATATGTGAACAGTATTTAGATAAAGATAGGGAAGTTTTTATTGCATTTATGGATTTAGAAAAGGCATATGATAGAGTGGATAGAGGAGCAATGTGGCAGATGTTGCAAGTATATGGAATAGGTGGTAAGTTATTAAATGCTGTAAAGAGTTTTTATGAGGATAGTGAGGCTCAGGTTAGGGTGTGTAGAAGAGAGGGAGACTACTTCCCGGTAAAAGTAGGTCTTAGACAGGGATGTGTAATGTCACCATGGTTGTTTAATATATTTATAGATGGGGTTGTAAAGGAAGTAAATGCTAGGGTGTTTGGGAGAGGGTGGGATTAAATTATGGGGAATCAAATTCAAAATGGGAATTGACACAGTTACTTTTTGCTGATGATACTGTGCTTATGGGAGATTCTAAAGAAAAATTGCAAAGGTTAGTGGATGAGTTTGGGAATGTGTGTAAAGGTAGAAAGTTGAAAGTGAACATAGAAAAGAGTAAGGTGATGAGGGTGTCAAATGATTTAGATAAAGAAAAATTGGATATCAAATTGGGGAGGAGGAGTATGGAAGAAGTGAATGTTTTCAGATACTTGGGAGTTGACGTGTCGGCGGATGGATTTATGAAGGATGAGGTTAATCATAGAATTGATGAGGGAAAAAAGGTGAGTGGTGCGTTGAGGTATATGTGGAGTCAAAAAACGTTATCTATGGAGGCAAAGAAGGGAATGTATGAAAGTATAGTAGTACCAACACTCTTATATGGGTGTGAAGCTTGGGTGGTAAATGCAGCAGCGAGGAGACGGTTGGAGGCAGCGGAGATGTCCTGTTTAAGGGCAATGTGTGGTGTAAATATTATGCAGAAAATTCGGAGTGTGGAAATTAGGAGAAGGTGTGGAGTTAATAAAAGTATTAGTCAGAGGGCAGAAGAGGGGTTGTTGAGGTGGTTTGGTCATTTAGAGAGAATGGATCACAGTAGAATGACATGGAAAGCATATAAATCTATAGGGGAAGGAAGGCGGGTAGGGGTCGTCCTCGAAAGGGTTGGAGAGAGGGGGTAAAGGAGGTTTTGTGGGTAAGGGGCTTGGACTTCCAGAAAGCGTGCGTGAGCGTGTTAGATAGGAGTGAATGGAGACGAATGGTACTTGGGACCTGACGATCTGTTGGAGTGTGAGCAGGGTAATATTTAGTGAAGGGATTCAGGGAAACCGGTTATTTTCATATAGTCGGACTTGAGTCCTGGAAATGGGAAGTACAATGCCTGCACTTTAAAGGAGGGGTTTGATATATTGGCAGTTTGGAGGGATATGTTGTGTATCTTTATATGTTTATGCTTCTAGACTGTTGTATTCTGAGCACCTCTGCAAAAACAGTGATAATGTGCGAGTGTGGTGAAAGTGTTGAATGATGATGAAAGTATTTTCTTTTTGGGGATTTTCTTTCTTTTTTGGGTCACCCTGCCTCGGTGGGAGACGGCCGACTTGTTGAAAAAAAAAAAAAAAAAAAAAAAAAAAAATTAAACATAATTATTTGTAATTTTTATTCACACAAAAAATATAAGATTTACTGTTATTCCTTATTGCAATAATTGTATAAATATGTCAACCCATTCACGACTGCATATTGGAATGGACAGTGACATCATTTATTTACTCTGAAACAGCCAAGCAATGAACCATTTCTCCTAGGTTGAGCTCTATTTCAAGGTACTTTTTGTCCTGAAAGCAATCAAAATCATATCTATTTCTGTAATTTATCTTCCATTCTATCAAATGAGACCAAAAAAACGAGAATACAACCATAAAAACCATTCGAAATTACCACTAAGGGGTGGCTAATTGGTGAGAAGTGAACTCCATTATTTATGCTTAGATTTCTTTCATTTCTGGTGTACGTTAAGAAGCATCTTTCCATCATACATTGCCCAAGTTTCAATGAGATAGTCCAACAAACAAATGAGATACAATTCCCGAGATCAAGAGCAAGAGTCCCTCACCAGTGTCAAGGAACCTGCCTTGAGGTCTGCTCGCTTGTGGAAATTTTGCTTGGGTATGGAAGCAAAAAATCGACCCATCAACTGCTCATATTTGGAAAAACTCGCATTTGGACACACTTGCAAGTAGAGGTTCCACTGTATAGTGATTGTATACATATAAATGTATAAGAAAAGGTATACCTGAATTATTCATGTCCCACCTAGAAGTACAGGGCGTTTATCAATTATTTAATTTACTAAGTAACTCTATAAGCTTAGTATTATACTGAATAAAACCAGATAAAGCATTATAGAACTTATTTCCCTTATATATATATATATATATATATATATATATATATATATATAATATCTATATATATATATATATATAGATATATATCTATATATATATATATATATATATATATATATATATATATATATATATATATATATATATATATATATATATATATATATATATATATATATATATGAAAAGAATAAGAAGACCTGAGTTGGTCTTCACGTGTTGTTACTAACGGGTATCCTCCCTGAAAAGAGAGACTCAAAACGTAACAAACAACTTGTGTTACCTTTGCAGTTATACTTAAAAGAATAAATCACATAAGGTAAAATAAAATAAGAGACTGAAATAGCCTGCATAACTCCTAAACAAATAAGGGAATAAAGAATTTAAAGCATCACAAAAACATGAAATCTTGAAACAAAAATTTAGTACAAAGACCTTACCCAGAGTTTGGAATGTGAAGGTTATTATCTGGCTGCATCCACACATTTGGTGGAGGCTTGAAGGAAGACGTTGTGTCCGCTGCAGATGGTGCAAGGTAAGGTTGCTTGTGTACACTTGCTTCGTGATCTAGAATACCACCTGATCGCTTAATGCCTCCACTCTTCATGCAAAAGAAAAAAAAATACAATTACACTACTGTCTCAGTCAAATAACAAAAAAAAGCACAATACCGTGACTGGAACAATACACAAATAACCCGCACGTAGAAGAGAGGAGCTTACAATGACATTTTGGCGTGACTTGGACCATTTACAAAGTCTTACTGACTTTGTAAATGGTACAAGTCAGACCAAAACATCATCGTAAGCTCCTCTCTTCTATGTGCGGGTTATTTGTGTACTGTGACAATCAAATTTATATTACCAGGCATAAATAAACATCAAATTTTTGCATCTTTGTATATACTCCATGTTCACACAGACAACATCCTGTGTATCTGCCCTACTTTTCAAAAGCCCTGATACAACTGAAGGAATGTAATACAAATGTTACTTACTTGATCACTGTGTCTCTTCAATGGTTTTCTCAATGACTTTATTTTGTACTTATCCTTGCAAGATTTGTCTCCAGCTCGCTGCTGCTGCATGAAGATTTTCTGCATGTCAGCATTGTGTTTAGAGAGCACTTCTTCAGTCAGCTGGGTATGGCAGTAAGAGTGACCGATGCTTGGGGTCCTGCTGTTCTCGCCACTCCCGCTCCCATTTCCAGTGCTCTCTGATTTTCTGATATTTATGAAAGACAAATCAAGGAACCATAAGGTTAGCATACTGTAATATATATATCATCAACATCCAATATCAGCCTTCAAACTTACTGCTCCTCACACTCACCAATAATGTGAGAAAATGAAAGCATGTCAACAAAAGTCCTTGATCAACCATGAAACACCACCACGAGAGAAGATATAAAAAAAAAATGCCTTACCTTAATGACACACTACATAGCCCCAAAATACACAGTACCCTGCTGAAAGCTAACCACACCAACCTAGTTTTCCATACTCCTCTAAGAACTACAAGACGTGAAATTAAGACACATGTGCAACATCTGGGTATCTTTATTGTAGACGTTTCGCCATCCAGTGGCTTTATCAATACAAATTCTAGGACATAACTTGAAGACAGAAGGACTATATACAGAAGATGAGGTAATCAGTCCCTCAACCTTGGAGTAGGTGCGAAGAGCCTTCATAATGTTACCTTGCTCACACTCCAACAGCACATCAAGTCCTAAAAATCATTTGTCTCCATTCATACCTATCTAACAGGCTCATGCATGCTTACTGAAGTCCAAGCCCCTTGTACACAAATCCTCCTTTACCCCCTCCCTCCAACCTTTCCTAGGCCAACACCTACCCTGCCTTCCCTCTCGAAGTCATTCTATTTTGTTCCATTCTCTCTACACATCCGAACCACCTCAACAACCCCTCCTCAGGCCTCTGGATAATAGTTTTGGTAATCCCGCACCTCCTCCTAATTTCCAAACTACGGATTCTCTGCATTATATTCACACCACACATTGCCCTTAGACATGACATTTCCACTGCCTCCAGCCTTCTCCTTGAGGAGATGTCATGTCTGAAGGCAATGTGTAGTGTGAATATAATGCACAGAATTCGTAGTTTGGAAGTTAGGAGGAGGTGTGGGATTACTAAAACTATTATCCAGAGGGTTGAAGAGGGGTTATTGTAAGTAAGTAATAAGTAAGTAAGTTTATTCAGGTATACACAAATACAGATACACAGAATTATCATACATAGCAGTATATGTATAGAGAACCTAGGATAACCAAAAAAGTCAGACAGAGTGACTTATTTCCATTGAGGTGGTTTGGACATGTAGAGAAGTCGGAACAAAACAGATTGACTTCCAGAGTGTATCAGTCTGTAGTGGAGGGAAGGCGGGGTATGGTCAGCCTAGGAAAGGTTGGAGGGAGGGGGTAAAGGAAAACCTTTCCATATGCTAGTCAATTTGCAAAGAAATTCATGTGTAGAGGAGCTTTATCAGAGAACTTTGTGTATGCAGGGCAAGCTTTTATACTGATAGTGTAAAATTTTGAAGTTCATTGTGATAAAGCTTTACACAGCAAGAGTTTGAATGAAAGTTTTAAACAAGTGTAACTATTTCATTCCCAAAATCATAAACAGGTGCTTGCTTCATTCACAAGATAAACAAGTAACTGCTTCATTCACAAGATAAACAAGTAACTGCTTCATTCACAAGATAAACAAGTAACTGCTTCATTCACAAGATAAACAAGTAACTGCTTCATTCACAAGATAAACAAGTAACTGCTTCATTCATAAGATAAACAAGTAATTGCTTCATTCACAAGATAAACAAGTAACTGCTTCATTCATAAGATAAACAAGCAACTGCTTCTTTCACAAGATAAACAAGTAACTGCTTCATTCATAAGATAAACAAGCAACTGCTTCTTTCACAAGATAAACAAGTAACTGCTTCATTCACAAGATAAACAAGTAACTGCTTCTTTCACAAGATAAACAAGTAACTGCTTCATTCATAAGATAAACAAGTAACTGCTTCATTCACAAGATAAACAAGTAACTGCTTCATTCACAAGATAAACAAGTAACTGCTTCATTCATAAGATAAACAAGTAATTGCTTCATTCACAAGATAAACAAGTAACTGCTTCATTCATAAGATAAACAAGTAACTGCTTCTTTCACAAGATAAACAAGTAACTGCTTCATTCATAAGATAAACAAGTAACTAGCTTCATTCACAAGATAAACAAGTAACTGCTTCATTCATAAGATAAACAAGTAACTGCTTCATTCATAAGATAAACAAGTAACTGCTTCATTCATAAGATAAACAAGTAACTGCTTCATTCACAAGATAAACAAGTAACTGCTTCATTCATAAGATAAACAAGTAACTGCTTCATTCACAAGATAAACAAGTAACTGCTGCTTGTAGCAAACGTAATTTGTGGTCAAAGACTTTTGTGATGGTGGTAGTGAGTTGTGATGGTGGTGGTAGTGAGTTGTGATGGTGGTAGTGAGTTGTGATGGTGGTGGTAGTGAGTTGTGATGGTAGTGGTAGTGAGTTGTGATGGTGGTGGTAGTGAGTTGTGATGGTGGTGGTAGTGAGTTGTGATGGTGGTAGTGAGTTGTGATGGTGGTAGTGAGTTGTGATGGTGGTAGTGAGCTGTGATGGTGGTGGTAGTGAGCTGTGATGGTGGTGGTAGTGAGCTGTGATGGTGGTGGTAGTGAGTTGTGATGGTGGTGGTAGTGAGTTGTGATGGTGGTGGTAGTGAGTTGTGATGGTGGTGGTAGTGAGCTGTGATGGTGGTGGTAGTGAGTTGTGATGGTGGAGGTAGTGAGCTGTGATGGTGGTGGTAGTGAGCTGTGATGGTGGAGTTAGGGAGTTGTGATGGTGGTGGTAGTGAGCTGTGATGGTGGTAGTGAGTTGTGATGGTGATGGTAGTGAGTTGTGATGGTGGTGGTAGTGAGCTGTGATGGTGGTAGTAGTATACCTTGAGCATACCTGGAGAGAGTTCTGGGGATCAACACCCCCGTGGCCTGGTCTGTGACCAGGCCTCATGGTGGATCAGGGCCTGATCAACCAGGCTATCACTGCTGGCCACATACAATCCAACATACAAACCACAGCCCAGCTGGTCAGGTACTGACTTTAGGTGCCTGTCCACTGCCTGCTTGAAGACAGCCAGGGGTCTATTGGTAATTTATGCTGGGAGGCAGTTGAACAGTCTCGGGCCCCTGACACTTATTGTGTTGTCTCTTAACGTGCTAGTGACACCCCTGCTTTTCATTGGGGGGATGGTGCATCGTCTGCCAAGTCTTTTGCTTTCGTAGTGAGTGATTTTCGTGTGCAAGTTTGGTACTAGTCCCTCTAGGATTTTCCAAGTGTATATAATCATGTATCTCTAATTTATATAAGACAAAAGGTATATTCATATATTCAAGAATGCTTTTTGTGAAAACAATGATTCAAGATTCAGACTACACAACAAGACAGCTGTTAACAACTTTATAGCAGCTATGAATAACATTGGCTGGCAAAATGAGCTCAAAACATATGCAGATATGAATGAATGTATAAATAATTTTCTAAAAAAAGCCCATTACCTCTACAACAAACATTGCCCTAAAAAACTAAACAGATCACAGCAAAGAAACTGAATAGTCCCTGGCTAACACTCAGCATCCTCAAATTCATTAACACAAAGCACAAATATGAAAAACAGTACAGAATGGGTCCAATAACTAGAGACCAGTCTAAACATTACTCATCAGCTCTTACCAGCCTGATAAGATCTAAAAAACTGTATTATGAAAATAGATTACATAACATCAAAGGTGATATGAAAAAGACCTGGAAAACTCTATCTAAAATTCTTCAAACTGAAAAATTATCCAAAAACAAAACAATCAAATTAACAAAACCAGACAAACCCCTACTCACACCAACTGAAACAGCAAACAGACTCAATGTTTTCTTCTCCACCATAGCAAACAAAATACCAAGCTCAAACACCAGTCCATCAGAATACCTCATAGGTACCTACCCAAATGTGCTATTCCTAGCTCCAACCAACCCCACTGAAGTTATGCTCATCATAAACACCCTTAAAAACAAGGCAGGAGACATAAACAACTTGCCTGCTTTTATGTACAAAAAAGCTTCTCAAGTATTGTCACCAATTATTGCAACGCTCTTTAACAAATCCATTGAATCATCTACCTTCACAACAATCCTCATAATAGCGAAGGTCACTCTGATCCATAAAGAAGGTGACCAAGCTGACTTGAATAACTATAGACCAATATCTAACTTACCACTGCTCTCTAAAATCTTTGAAAAATTAATTCATGGATGTATCTGTTCCTACCTCGCCTCACACAACATATTAAACCCTTGTCTGTTTGGATTCAGGAATAATAAAAGCACAAATGACGCTATCATACACATGCTGGAACTAATATATACCGCACTTGAAAAGAAAGAAGTCCCGCTGGGCATTTTCATTGATTTATGTAAAGCTTTTGATACAGTCGACCATGAACTGCTGTACTCTAAATTAATGCACTATGGTATCAGAGACCACTCCCTCAACTACCTAAAGTCATACCTTAGTAGCAGAATTCAATATATGTATGCAAATGGTGCAAACTCTTCCACCCAACCAATCACAGTAGGAGTCCCACAAGGAATTGTCTTTGGACCACTCCTCTTTCTCATCTACATCAATGATCTACCGAATGCATCACAGCTACTCAAACCCATATTATTTGCAGATGACACTACATATGTCTTCTCCCATCCAAACCCAGTCATACTCGCCAACACTGTCAATGCCAAATTGCAGAAAATATCTGCCTGGATGATGACTAATAAACTTACCTTGAATATTGATAAAACCTATTTCATTCAGTTTGGAAACAAAGCTGCAAATGTTCCACTTAACATAACGCTAAATGGATCATCAGTCACAAGACTTGCAGAGGAAAAATTTCTAGATATCCACCTTGACAGTAGCCTTAAGTTCCAGACACCTATACAACAAATCACCAAGAAAATCTCTAAGACTCTAGGCATACTATCAAAGATAAGGTACTACATTCCACAATCAGCTCTCCTGGCACTGTACCATTCACTCATATACCTTTATCTCACATATGGAATTTGTCCATGGGGATCAACAACATTAAATCACCTAAGCAAAAAGG